AGGCCTTAGCTTAGTTTTGTTTCATCTCGTTGGGTTTGGCCCATCGATCCAGCCTGTCTAGATCCCTCTGCAGAGCCTTCCTACCCTCCAGCAGATCAACACTCCTGCTCAACTTGGTGTCATCTGCAAACTTACTGAAGGTGCGCTTGATCCCCTTGTCCAGATCACTGGTAAAGATATTAAACAGAACCAGCCCCAATACTGAGCCCTGGGGAACACCACTTGTGACCGGTTGCCAACTGGATTTAACTCCATTTACCACAATTCATTGGGCCTGGCCATCCAGACAGTTTTGTACCCAGCAAAGAGTACGCCCATACAAACCACAAGCAGCCAGTTTCTCCAGGAGAATGTTGTGGGAAACGGTGTCATTTTCACCTCTAACAGACAAAGGAAGACAACATTATCTCAAATTCAACTTCATATTCTAGCCCTAAATCATAACATTGAATTCAGATACTCTTATCTGAATAGATCACATACGCGATGAATTTTTTGCTCCTGATTGCTACCATTAGAGATTTGCATTAAAGAGGTTAATGTTACTTCAGTGCCAAATTATGCCCCTGTCTTGCACAGAGAGTAAAGGAGCATGGATTTTTCTTCTTTGCTATGCATTTTGCATAAAAAGAAGGATAAATGGAATTTCCTCTACCAAGGGAGTACAGGAGCTGTTCTCTTCCTGCATTTGAGACAGAAACACAACATAAGAGGTAGGGTCTGCTTCTTTCTGTAGCTGGCTGCTTTCTGAGAGAGGGAAAACAATGCACCGTTTTAAGAATCACTTTGTGGGAGCTCTCTTGGGAAGGCTGCAGCCCTGCACATACATGCAGACCTCAACAAACTGTGGCAGTCTCGAGCTCTTAGGCTGCCACACTTCATGTTCCCTTCCCCGACTAAAAGAACAATGGAAAAGCACCAAGAAGTCATTGGCGTAGGCACAGCAAAATGAAAAAAACCCATAATTAGCCCCTACAGGCAGCATAATGAAAATGTGGAAAAAATTCTCTGTCGCAGAAAGTAGATGAATGACGGCTGGTGTGCAGGACTAAGTCATATATAGGCAACCTAAAGTAATTTAGTTTGGTGTTTTGACCAACTTTGGCTGCAAGAGACGTTAAGGGCACCCATGTGTTAGTCTAATTGAGGCTGAGTCAGCATTTCTTCTGTAAATGTTTACTGTATTTTAAAAGCCTGGTGATTGTAGCTGTCAGTCTGGGTTAAAACCTTAGATACAGGTCTTGGCACAAAAGCTCATCCTCTGAAAAAATGCACTCCCCAATTACTGTGGGACTAGGAGGAGCATCTCTGTGACTTAGTACTAAGGAGATAGATGTTGGCTTGGGATCCTCTTCAGAGCATAGCGGTCTAACCTCTGTCTGAAACCCGCCTTTGGGGTGAAGGAAATACAGCAGTAAAAGGCAAAAGTAGCACAGAGAGGGGGACTAGTTTTAATATTTTCTATCCTTATCATTATGAAATTGTAAAAAATAATTCACCTACATTACAGGCAAACTTCTGGGAAGTTCTGGGAAGAGGCTAAGTCTATTTGCTCAAATTAGACTTCGCAAGAGGAATCCAGTTTAGCGACAAAGTCACATATGATCACTATGTGGAGGTGATGTAGATTTACACAGTGGCCACAAATCCACTCATCTGGAAACAAACCCAAACCCAAAACATAAACATAAACATAATGCTTCCTCCTAGGTAGACATCCCCAAATATCCTAAAATTGCCAGCACAGTTCTTAAGATCATGACAAGAACTACAAAAGTAGGATTTATTATTTTTTGGCAATTATTATTAATATAATTGCTACCTTTGTCTTTTATTTGCTTCCTGGATTTTCAGGTAATCACTTCATTATGAGAGTGGAGGCCTCAAAAAACCAACTCAATAGGACAAGTTACAAAGTGGAGTAATGAAAGGTAACAACAGAAGTGACGGAATTTGATAATGAATTTGGACATTTCAAAGCATGCAAACACAGAACACCTCCCCACCCCAATCTGACCAACATTTAACTTCTTTTTCAATAATTTTGAGTTGGTAGAAAGTAGAAATGGCAAGAAATGAATTCAAAATATACTCAAACAAACCAAAGTTACTTTATGTTGTAGAAACTGAGACATATCTTAATCCTGCTTGTGCTGATTTGTTGAGTTTCTCTGTTCGTAACTGACACAATTCCTTTGTTTGCTAACTTTAATTTGCACTTCAGAACTTGAAGTAGTTTTTTGATCTGCAGTTAATATAACAGTTTGGAAGCTATTGATAATTACATGGTAGAATTAACTCTTAAATGGCTACTTTGCATGGGATCTTTTGATTTCAGTTTATGTTCTTGGTAGCATGAAGCATGGTGTTGCGAACAAAGAAAAATGAGAATGAAGAGACATAAAAAATATACAGTTCAGAAGGAAAATGTTATGAAATTTAGGAAAGTTTTAAAGAAAGAAGCTAAAAGGAAAACAGTGCATGAGAAGTGAACTTCAGATTCAGAAGTAAAATACAGATACTTACCTTTATTATATATAAAGATCTACATTTTATAAAAGAATGGTACTTTTTTCAGATTATGTCACATTTAAAAATAAATTTTTAGAAAGTTGAGTTAGTAATTTTAATATATAGACCATATAACTGTTTAAGCATCTATAAGACTATGAAGACAATAGCTATAATACGCAAATCAGTGTAGTGATCTAAAATTAGGTTAAAAATGTGATATTTTTCTATTTTATGGATTTGATTTTATTTCTATTATTGAAGTATCACAAAATTTTTGTCTTAAAGGAAACTGTCAGTTATTTGTTCGGGGGCTTAGACAAGTGGTATAGAAAATATTTGAAGTGGTTTTTGACTGAAAGATCAGTGAAAACAAAATAATAAACAGCTACCTTTCAATGCAACATTTAATTCCTACATGCCTTTTAGTACAAATTTTGATTAGTCAATAGAGGGAAAACGTACTTCTTAGTATTTTTTAAGAAGGGAGATATCCACAACTGCTGACCTTATTGACCAATAACTACTTTTTCTAAGCTTGATATAGTAAATAAACATAATGTTGAAATAGGATGTTTATGCTCAACATAATCTCATAAATTATATTGTATGGTAACTGAATATAGAAATATCCATGGAAATATACATATTCCTACTTACCCAACGGACAGGAAAGGCTCCTTTGATTCAAGTCTGTCAAATAAATAACAGCAGTTTTAAGTATATATATTTATTGTATTTCAGAACATTTATACGATGAATTTAAAACAGCCACTCTCACTGTCAAATTTACTTGGTGACAATACACAATTTAACAACAACAGAAGGGCCTGATCCATTATGCTAGGAACTTAACTCAAAAATAATCCCATTTGCCTAACTGAACTTTGGTTTAGAAATCAAATATTTACAAAGCAGCACATCTAGGCCCTTTAAATTTCACAGATTCAGGTGACTTGTGTAGGTATTTACATGGAAAGGCTGGAGCAAACAAGTAAAACTGTCCTTTTATTGCATTTTTAATGCAAAATGATTTTTTCTTGATGGCCGTGATTTAGGGAAGATATCAAATCTTTTTTTTTTTTTTTTACTTTAAACATAAGATTTAGTATGGGTGTAAGAACTTTCCTGATTTGAGGGCTTCCACACCCATTTTGTTTGCTTTCTAACATCCTCTATTCATATGACATGGTCACTTTGTCGTGAGAACTTCTGGCACATCTGCCACAATCAACCTTGCGCTGGAGCTGGATGCCACTAGTTTGGTAGACCCAGAATCATGCCCAGTTCTAAAACGAGTTGTGAAAAATGTTGTTCTCCAGCTCCCTGCTGTTGCTGCTGTCTCTGTGAGGAGCTGCACCACTTGCACACTGGAAGGAGCCTCTTCTACTAGCAGTTTTCACCCAATCAGGATAGATTTAAAAATCCTCATCTACGTTATTGTACTGTATTTCTGCTCCAGTACCTGCAACTGGCTGCCCTTAATTTTGTAGTGTGTCCTGGCTGCAATGAATTTACTAATATCAGCTACTTGTTAGGACCATTAGCATGTGACTTTAGGGTCCTTTATAAATGTATTTAAAGCAAATTCACAACTCAATTATTTTGAGAGGTTACATGACATGCAAGTCATGAAAAAGTTCTCTATTGTGCTAATTTTCACTGAAAGTACTGTGTTAGGAAGAACAGCAAATAAAAACCCTAGGTACTTAATGTCTCTTTGTAGCCTTTAAAAAAAGTGTTTCTAAGAAAGTGAAGTATGTCATATCTGGAACTGAACATTTCATTTGTGATGACCCCTCCCATCCAAAACTAATTCAGTCCCACAACAAAATATCTGAAATAGAACTGTAAACAACAGGACTAATTGTAAATAAGAGGACTGTAAATGATTTGTCAATGTTTTAAGAACGAACCTTTCCTGCAAGTGTTCTTTGTAGAAAAACCAACAAGTACATTTGCAGTTATTATTCACTTAGCAAATGTTTTGTCCAAAAATCTCACAAACCAATAGACCAATTTAGTTATTGCCATCTCTCCAGAAGGGTATTTACAAAAGTGAGCTTGTCACTGTGCTTTTGAAAGGATTATATGATTTTGTCTTTAATTAAAAAATACTGCATCATCTTTTTGCAAAGCATTTAGTTCTTCTTTTCCAGTATCATTAGTGGAAACAGCTTAGGAGCCTGTCTTCATTTACAATGTCATCTTCTGATGTACTTTAAGTATCCCTGTGTTCAGGCAGACACTTCTGCAGGGCAGTCTCAGTGCTGTCATGAATGCTTTCCCTCCTAGACTGTCATGCTGCACACCAAAACCCTCATAGCACCAGAAAAATGCTTAGCTTGGCATCCTCTGTGCTTAGGTAGTACTGCCAAAGAGCAATAAAGTGACAGGGCCCTTTGTGTGCAGGGTTGCACCCTTCTCCTGCAGGCTCTGTGAAATCACCATGCCAGCTTCACAGACCAGCTTTTCCTGCTGTGGATCACACTGTTACATCTGCACCATCTTTGCAGCTTCTCTCTGGTGTATGAGGAAAAGCCCCAAACTGTTACCTTTTTTTCCATTTTTCTGCTTAATGAAATGAGCCAGATCTGGGAAGTACCCAGTGTTTGGCTCGAGAAACTAACTATAAGCAAAACAAGCCAAAAAATGAAAGCTTCCAAACATATTTATGTACTTGATAATACAGAAATTTTGTAATGAAGAGAGACCTGGCACTGTCCTGATGGAGGATATTGTAGTGGATTTTACTTGCAAACAAAAAGTGTGCGATAGAATGCCCTGTGGACAAAATACTGCAATTAAAAATCTATTTGAAATCCATTCTCAAGATGGAATTCAATTTGATTTAAATAGTGCTGCCCTAGGTTTGACCCCTCTCTAGTATATTTGACTAAATGGTTTTAGATAATTTGCTGCATTACTTTAAATTAGTTCAAGTGTTCCTCATAGTAAAGGAATACAATTATCTGTTGGCCTTTTTTTTTTTTAAATTGGTAATTCAGTATATGGCAAATTAATATAAAGGTTTTAAAACTGCAACACCATATAAAATAACATCCTATATCATCTTTACTGGTGACATTTATCAATATATATTATAGATTTTTTTTCTTTTCTAGCCTGCAGTACACCAAATTCTCCAGAGTTTTGAGGAATTCTTGCATAATTAAATATGATTATCTCAAAAGCATAATCCTGATAAGCTGTGAGAAGGGCTGTCATACACCTTCAGGAAAAATATTAAACCAGAAATTTTCTTTCTTACAAAAATGTATTGTGTGTGCAAGAAATACTAAGTTGGACAGTAAACAACGGGAATAATGTTTTAATTATCTAGGAATGGTAATGAAGCTGGAGTGATCAGGATTTTTCTTTCTTTCCTGAAATGGTTTTCCCATCATAAAATTTCAGTTTGTCAAAATGTCAAGGCAATATATCAGTTTGAATAGGAGGGAGGCAGGCTAATCAGGAGCACGGCTGGGACATGGCGGACTGAGGTTGTTTCCTTTTGATTCTGAGCTAAGATTTTCTGAAAGGTCTGACTTTCTTATCTACATATAACGGATAAATTTTTGCAGGAGGAAAAAGGATTTTTACACTATGTAAATTGCTCAGTTAAAATCAGTCCCTGTAAACCAAACAGGTATAGGCAATCAATTTATACCTGTTGATATGCTACAGTACTGTCACAGTCTGTGTTTAAAATAAGGACCCTAAAAATTTCCCATTTAGTATTTTACCCCTTGCAACCTGTCTTGGAGAGACATTTTACAAGATCTGATTGACATAATTGTGTATTTCATAATTTTCTTTGCTGCTAAGTTTGCTTATATTAATGCCAATTTTATAAATCCCATCTTTGTCATGGACTGAACATGTAGATGGACAAATTTTTCGAGGTTTGCAGACAAACATACAAGGAAATATGACTAGACTAAGGGCATGTGAATTCCTCTTTGACTTGTAAACAAATCATTTAAAGACAGGAGGATCCCAAACTAAACTCCACATTCCTTGCATAATTGTCCTATTAAGATTACAGGCAAGATGGCTTTTTATATCTGAGGCCTGACCCAAGATACATAAACCAATATCATTTCTTGTTGACGAATCCTCGCATCTCCTTCCCAAAACTTATTTACAGGACAAAGTGGATAACATTTCTAACAATATTAGCACTGTACACAAGCAAGTGGATTTTAGCCAAGCATTCTTGTTATGAATCAATATATTCTTCCCCATGGTGAACACATAATTTCATCTTTAAGGAGTAAGTAAGAAAAACATGTGGAATTTAAGGCATTTGTTAGGGTTCTTATTCTGACTTTTTAATATAATAGAACTGTCTACCTTGAATCAGGGAAAGTGATGGTCAGGAACTAAAATTTTTTTAGACGAGTCACCATTTTGGCTTACAATCTTCAAATCAGAATTTCCAAGGAAGATAACCTGAGTGTGGTGCTGATGTCACACATTTGCTTGTTTGACTATAAAACCCATGAATAGTGACTGCAGTTTTCGGGGGGACTGGGAGAGTTAATAACTCTAACAGGAATCCAGAGGATTCAAGCTTTTCATTCATGCCATTAAGTCAAAAAGTTACCCTTAAGGTAATTAGATCATATTTTCCCAGCTTGAATATGAGACTTTCATGTAAGGCAATATCAAAAACTTTAAAAATCAGGCTAAGTCTTACCTCTTATCTGTCTCTTCTTCTATCCAGTAAGTCAGTTATCATGTCAAAGGAATAAGTTTGCACTGAGAAACGACATTTTGAGTCTGCAGTACTTTAGTTTCCATCCATGGTTTGAGGCATGTATTTTATTTTGTACTAGAATTTTTATGTTTCAATAAATAATAGGAGCATTTAACTCTGTGGAAAAGAACTTCCCAGGGCACTTGTATATTTTCATATCAATACGGTATTTAGTATTACACAATAGTTATGTAAACAATACAGTTTGTGTTGTTTTTCTAACCAGAGTCATCAACTGCAATGTCGACCACCAGTTGGAAGTGGAACTTATTAAATTTAAGAACAATTGTAAAAGTTGACATAAAGCTGTAAATTATTCCTCAGCACCCTCTGATTCTGAAACACTTCTGACAAATTAGATCTTCTATACAGCTGGTCTAACATTTATTTATTCCAGAGTATGACAGTGCTTCTTAAAAAACTTGCCAACATTTATAATGATATTTATGGAAGTTTCAGAAGACAGAATGAGCTTCTTCCCTAATTCTATCTGACAATGGGTACTGAAGTCTGGAAAAATTGGATTGAAATTACTTTAAGTCACAGAAACCATTATAAATGGCAATGAGAGAAGAACGGATTTTATAACAGGATGGGGGTAGATAGAGAGAATCAAAAGGAGAGCAATTAAGAGTTTAAACAATGAGAAGGAACTTTAGAGTGATGGAAATGCCGTATCAAGTAGAGGTTATTAGGTCCTCCACATATCCTCTGTGAAATAGGAACTTCTACCTCGAAAATATCATCTAGAGCTCATGCTTCCAACTCTGCTAGTGATCTAGGAGTTAGAGCTTCTGTCATTGAGAACCTTTCTGCTCCATGACAAGAAGCCTGAAATTTCTGCCTATACAGACCTTAGGAGCCATCTGTGCAACAGCTCGCTGGAGTCACAGAATATGAAAGTCTGGGACAAACACCGGATGATGGAGGA